GCTTCGCGCCATGCACCTTGGTCCTTGAAGTGTGGCATGCAGGCGGAATAGCAGGAAAGTCAAGCCGACAAAATAGCGATAACTCCTTGTTGCCTTTTCCGGCATCGTCGCTATAGTAATGCGAATCGTTATCCTTCCTCCCTCCATGCTTATGTTTCCTCAATTTCGCCATACCCTGCGCATTCTCTCCATCCTCCTCAGCTCTTTTTTGCGGAGACTCCTCCTTGGAGAGCCTATGCGGGCCTCAGAAAAATTGTTTCAGGCATTTTAAGGCCTTCTGGAGGCCTCATGGGCATATTCTGGGGGCCTCTGGGAGCTTCCCCAGGCCACCCTGCCTCCAACCGCGGTCTCCCTGAACGACCGGGTCACGATTTGGAATGCTTCGGAGGGCGTCTTGGGGCCATCTTGGGCCGCCATGCGGCTCTCTGAGGGTCATCTCGGACCCGTGTTGTGCCGTTTTGGGGCTCGCTTGGACTGCCTGGAAGCCCTTTCGGATGGTTGTGGGGTAATTTGGAGCCTCCCAGGTAGCTTCGGACGCCCAGGAGACCGCCGTCTTGGAGCGTCGGGAAGCCGAAAAGAGAAGAACCCCCAAATTCACCAACGACCAACAGAAAATCAATAATGTTTGCCTCTTGGGGCCTTCTTGGGAGTGCTCTTGGAGGCCTCTTTGGGGCCGTCCTGGAGGCCTCTTGGGCCATCTTGAGGTCACGTCGGTCACTCTTGGAGCGCTCTTGTGCTGTCTTGGAGCCTGTGGGACGTCTCTGGGACGTCTCCGATGACCCCCTGATCGCCCTAGGTGTGCTGGGAAGGCTTGGCAAAATGCCCTGCGAGGCCCGGGGGGCCGCTTCGAGGCCCGTCCGTCCCAAAGCCCCAAATCCCTGGAATCCTGTTTTTTTTTTGGGGGGGTCCCCCCCGCCCGGGCTTATGAAAATATAAGAAGAGGAATGTATATATCTATATATATAAACAAACCGACAGAAACTGCTGCCGTGACTCTTTCATGACTCGATGGGAATCTGGGGAGCGGGATCCTCTGGCGACGCCGCCGCCCGGGCGACGGCCGCTGCGTGACACCTGCCTCCCGGAAAGTGCCGAAGGCGGAGGCGTCGGTTTTTAGGCTAAATCGTGCCTGTCCCTCTACAGAGGGGATATTCAAAAATAGTCAATCAATAATCCAGGGACGATTTTTGGAGTATGTTTGTTGACCCTTTCGGGGTATGTTTTGATCATGTTGCATTTTTTCGCCGCAATCCCCCCGTAGGAGGACAGTCCCGACTTGAGTTTAGGCATCAGGGCCAGAAGTGGTGAGGAAGTCTCCGGCGGAACGCCCAGCCCACCCTTTCGACCAGCCTCGGGGTGCGACAGGGAGGAACTGCCTATGAGGAAACGAATGGAGGAGGAGGAGGAGGAGGAGGAGGAGGAGGAGGAGGAGGAGGCGGAGGAGGAGGAGGAGGAGGAGGAGGAGGTGGAGGAGGAGATCACCTCGGCCCTCCGTCGGCGGCGGCAGCGGCGGGCGCGCCCGACGACCGCCAGGGGCGCCGACGAGGGCTTCCCCGGGGCCGTCAGCGCCACCGTCAGAGGCACGTCCAGGCCGGTGCCGCCTCCCCGGGGCGCGGCGCGGGCAAAGGGCGCGCCAGCGGCTGCCATCTGTCGACAGTCAATCGCCGTCTTCGGTCGCCGTAATCGGCGTATGTCGTCCGTCGTCGGCGCCGCCGTCGCCAGTCGCGGCCTTCGTGGCCGGTCTTCGCCATCGTCGTCGGTCTTGTTTGGCTTCGCTGTCGTCGGAGGGAGGAGGAGTTGGAGGACGGAAGAGGAGGGCAGGGAGAGAAGAGGCTGGGGTACTGGGATCCCCGCCCTCTTTATCATCTAGATAGGTCACATATAAATGCATACATATCAGATAGAACCAGTATGTAAGTTATTGCAACTTGTTTTATGTACACGATCTTATACCCAATCTGACTATCTCTGTGTTGCCAGAACTGAAGTAGTTCAGTGAGTTAGTGAAACGCGACTGCTATATGTATTCATGTTCTGCGCTTTGCAACCTGGTTGTCTTAACTCCGTGTTCTTGTTTGTTGTAGTTGGGGGACGGTTGCGTATCCAGAACTAAATAGGTTAGGTTCGCCCAAATCGCATTTAGCTAAACGCATTTAGGTGACTTAGCCAATCGGATTTCGCAAGTTAGCTAACCCAAAAAATCATATAGATTGCCGAAATCGTTCAAGCAGTGTCTTGGGTTTCCAGGTCCGTTGCTCGGATTCACGACGCGTGGATGCAGTGTTCGGTCTTTGGCTTGCCTGTGCAATGGCAAGGGCGCAATCCTTAGCCATTTTGTGCTCAAGCCATTTTGGCTTTGTGGGCACACTACATTCGACGATTGGTGTGTTGTACTTGGCACGATTGATGAGATTTGAGAAGAATCTCGAGTCTGCAGCGGATGAGGTGAACCCTATTTTATCTCAAATGGGAGAGATGGGCGTTGAAAAAAAACAGAAAGCATCAGCGGCAGACAGGATTATGTAAATTCTTCTTCGCCTGGATCTCGCATATGTGGAGTGGGTCAAGCCCAAACACGTAGGACTCGTGGGTTTTGAAAGGCCCAACCCTCCGATGTTCTGTATGTGTTCGCCCCCTTCGACTGCAAACGTCATCCCCCCTCTCCGCCGTCCTGCCCCCCCCGTCGCAGGGGAGGCGTGGCGGCCGTTTCGGATAAGTGCGTCCCAGCAGGATGCCATCCAGAGAATCTTTGGGGACAAGGCCTCGTCGGATTCTCCATGCACAGCCTCCTAGGCAAGATCGTCGATAAGGGTTGGAGCTATGCGTTCGCATCAGGCGCGCGCGCAGTGGAGGTGAGTTCAGACCCAGATGAGTTTGAGAAGGAGTTCCAATTTCAACAGAACCTTTCAGATGTCAGCGACGGTATGGTCGCCAGAATGTGTAGACAAGATATGAGAATCTTAACGTTGGCAGGTTCCCACACTACGGGAGGGATCAGGGCAGTGGCGAATGGATGCGATACGTTCTTAGATGAGTTGCCAGACGCTCATGGTAAGTTATCAATAGAGAAAGTCGTGTCTCGCTGCCCGTCGTACAAAGAGCCGCTGGAAAGGGGCATGCCGTACACAATCATACGCCGTGAGTGCATCAAGGCAATGCCAGGGCTCGCCAACTTCATCCAGGACGCGAGCAACCAGGAGCACGGGACCCACCAGGCAGTATCGTCGATCGCAGTGATGCTTAATATACATGGGATGGCAACGGCAAACATCAAAACATATGGAGATGCACAATACGAGTTGATCTCAAGAGAGGTGGAGGCAAGTCATCCAGATTTGACGGGGCAGATTGCCAACATGTGCAAGTATGTTGAAAAGTGGAGCGGTGGTGAGGCAGCGCAATTTCTGCATGAGTTGTGGTCTTTTCAGGGCGGCCTCAAGTTCACGAGGACAGTCGATGGCACATCGTGGGGTCTCCTCGCAAGCCTGCCCCTTCAGGAAGCCCCAGAGTACGTCACTGGGCTGGCCAAGGCAATGATGTCGAGCCCCGAGAAATATTGCAAGATGGGCCCCAGCAGGTTGTTTGTCAGTTCGGATTTCTCTGATTTGAAAAAGACTGCTAAGAGGGCCGCAGTGGTGAAGGCTGCTTCGTCGTTCAGGGCAGCCGCAGCGTATTTGGACAAGCTCAAGATTTCGAAGACTCATCGCGCCCAACTGCTGGGCGATTTCCAGGTGCGCACCGTCATGACTTTACATTCCAAGAAGTGCCCGACACGCAAAGAGTATAAACACATGGAGGAGGTCCAGCAATCATTCTTACAAGATGTACTAGATGCTCACCCCGAGGCCAAGTCCACAGCGGCCCCATGGAAGTTGACTGCAAAACCATGCGCCCATAAGGAGGGCGATGCCATGCCAATCGGAGGTCTTGTCCAATTTGGGAAATCAAACGTCATGTCCAAGGATGCCCTCGCGGAGCTCGGCTTCAAGCTCGGCTCGACGGTCGTGGCCAAGAACGGAGATAGCACCCAGGAGTACACGATCGAGGATGTCGATACCAAGTGCAACGTCGTGTTGAAGGCCCACTTGGACAACAAGACGATGGCCGCTACGTTCTCGATTCCGACTGGCAGGCTAGCCGACGAGTGCCAGGTGGGCTGAATTGAATTTCATATCGCAGCCACCCCCCGAAAGCCAGATATGTTTTGTTGTGGTGTCTGGTTGGGTCGTCCTCCTTCCCCGCTGGCGATAAGGACGAAACTCAACCGACGGCAGGGGTAGAGAGAGTGTGAGAGAGAGAGGGAGCGAGCGAGCGAGCTAGAGAGAGAGAGAGAGAGAGAGCCGACCGCCACCCCAGGTGGAGAAGCCGTCCGAGGAGACCACCCTCAGCGTCAAGAGTGTGATCAACAGGGCGCTGGAGCCCCTGGCTCTCTCTCTCTCTCTTTCTCCCTCTCTCTCTCTCTCGTTCCCTCGCTCCCTCCCTCTCTCGCTATCCCTCCCCATGGGATTCGGAGGCGCTTCTCAAATATTGCATCCGAATTCCAAGAGCCCACTGTCGCTCGCATTAGCATTCGCTGTGCACATTCTCAGCCCCTCTCGCTCTCACACTCTCTCCCTCTCTCTCTCTCTCCCTCGTTCTCCCTCTCACTCTCACTAAGTGGAGGGGCAACGGCGACGACGACGACGACGGCGACGGATGCTGTCCAAACGCATGCGAAAAGAACCAACAAACATGCCGACGACGACGACGACGACGACGACGACGGACGACGGACGACGGACGACGGACGACGGGTGACGCGGACAGCAAGAAACGAGTTGTCATGTGAGACCTGTTGGAACAACCATCCTCCTCACCCCCCTCCAAGAAGTCCACACGTGGACTTCTTGGAGGAGGGTATAGGCTAGAAAGTCACCCTCCTCCTCATCCTCCACCTCCTGGTATCCACCCTGCTCATGCATTCCTCATCCGTTCCTGCCCCGCCTGCCTCCTCATCCTCCTCGTCAGTTCGTCCTCCGTTCCTCCTCCGTTCCCACCTCCGTTCCCCCATCCCCTTCCTCCCCCCCGCGTCCTCTGCCCCCCCTCTCCCCCCTCCTCCTCCTCCTCCCCCTCCTCCTCCTCCTCCTCCTCATTATCAGCCTCCCCCCCTCCGCCTCCCCCTTCCTCCTCCCCCTCCTCCATCTCCGCGCCGCGCCGCCAGGAGAACACGGACGTGCGCAACGAGGCGGCCAAGGCCGCGGTCAGGCTCGCCCTGGGCAGGGCGTTTTTGAGCAACGCTCAGCGGTGCGATCTGACAGTCCATTATGTTTCGGTGCCGAAGGATTCAATTGTGAGAGTCACTGCGAGTGACAAGATTGAGATTAATGAGTTGATTCTCGTGCCTTTCACGCCGCACATTACCATAGGATATGATGACAAAAAGCAGCCCGCCAATGGTACGAGTGTTGATGTCTCGCATTTGGTTGGTGAGAAAGGCGCTCGCGCGACTCTCGCCCCGAAGTTTGATAAGCACACGTTCGTCGTGCCCTTCTGGGCAGTCCCGTTTGCTAAAGACTCGAAGGTGCCGAGCCTCGCTTGGACCAGTGTAGCTGTTGATGTGTGTACGTTTGTGGGAGCTGTCAAAACTGCTAAGTCAGTGACCGTGCCAGCCCTCACAAATCCGAAGACGATTCAGGCGGGCCACGAGTTGTATCGCCCCAGGGAGTCGCTCGTCACCGCAGTTGGCGGCGGCGGCAGTGGCAGCAAGTAATCGTGGTCCCCCCCTCGTTCACTCCACACATAACTTGCTATCCCCACATTGTTCGGTCCACCTTCGCCCGTGCTCCAATTGCTGCCACGTCGGGTGTTTGCCTCACGCAGTGCGCCTGCGGGGTTTCAAGGGCGCCACTGCGGTCTTCCATGGCGCGTGGTTCTAGCCATGTCGATCTCGCTTCGATGTGGGCGAGTCCTCGGCGTTGCTCTAAGTTTGCCAGTCTACGCCAGCAGTCGTGACGCGACCCGCGGGGTCGGCGAATTTTACACTTGGTCGTTTGCGATCGCAATGGAACCCCCCTCGTCATATCCCCCCGCCTGCTCCGTCTGGCTACCCGACCCGTGTCCCCTCCCCGCCTCGACCATTGGAGGCGCAAGGTGCCCGCGTAAGCCTCGATGCGCATGCAGAGGAGTGTATGCCGCCGCACTGGGGCCCCGTATGATACGTCGAGTGTGCTTCGGGCCATCGGTCAGCGAGCGCGCGTGTAGGTGTTTGTGGGGACGGCGCGGCACACTCGTTCGCCTGGTCAGCGTGCGTCGCGCTGCGATGCCTGGGGACCCTCCCCCTCCTCCTCCTCCTCCTCCTCCTCCTCCTCCTCCTCCTCCTCCGCCTCATCCTCTAGCTCGCACCCCCCCCCTCCTCCTCCTCCTCCTCCTCCTCCTCCTCCTCCTCCTCCCTTTCCTCCTCCTCCTCCTCCTCCTCCTCCCTTTCCTCCTCCTCCTCCTCCGCCTCCTCCTCCTCCTCCTCATCCTTCTCCCCCTCGCCATCGCCATCCTCATCGCCCGTCAACCCCGTCTGTATGTCAGGCCCAGCCTCACCCGTCTCCCCGCCACCGAGGGTGAATGAGTATAAGGGGCGAGGGGGGATGAGAGAGGAAGAAATGTGAGGAGGGCGATGAGGAAGATCCACCAGACTGAGGAGGACGAGTGGTCGAGGTCGCGCGCCCGCGCGCCCCCGCGCGCTCCCATCGCCCTCGACAAGTACAAGGACCCGACCGCGCCGCTACCGTCCCACCTTCGCGGCTGCCTTGGAGGAATGAGGGTGACTCAGGCCCCGTATCCTAACTCGATATGTTGTGAGTTAGGTTGGCCGCTGGCGGTTCCCTATGGGTTCCAGTCTGCTTAAACAGGCGATAGGGAAACCCACTGGGGACCGCCAGCGGCCTCCGAACTCAACGAACATATGTTTGGGTTGGGGGTCGAGGGGGATCTGCAGAGATGGGGCCAGCTCGTGAGCTCGTCGCGTCTGGGTGGTTGCGTCGGGTGACGCTCAGCTCCTACACGTCGTCGTCGTCGGCGGCGGCGTCGCCCCGTTGCAACTCCCTTGAGGGTCCCGTGAGGCTCCCGTCGTTGGTTTGTTGTTTTAAATGCGTTTGGAACGAATCCGACGTCGTCGTCGTCGTAGTCGTCGTCGCCGTCGTCGTCGTCGTCGTAACGGGCGGCTCGCGCACGTCACACGTTACGGCCCAGTTTGAGGTTCCTTTGAGGCTCCAGCCGTTGGTTGATATTATTTCAAATGCGTTAACAAAAATGCGACGTCGACGTCTTCGTCGTCGTGGTCGCCCCTCCACTTAGTGCCCTCCATATGGTCCCCGCGATTGCCCCCACTGGCCCTCACAAAGCCCACTAGCTCGCAATCCCTGGCACGCCCCCGCCCCCAACGGCCGAGTCGGCGCGGCCCCCGCCCAGCAAGTTATATGTGAGATGTTTGAAGTTTGGGGGGCACTCAACACCCGCACCACCCCCGAGTGTGCCCTCATGGGGGCATTGGGCGTGCCGCCGCATCACCATAACCACCATCATGCGTAGCCATATTTAGGCTCAAGCTGGACCGTGTGCGCTGCGCTCGTCTTGTGTACGTCAACTCGGCCTGCCTGGTGGGAGCACATGGTCAGCGTCCAGCTTAACTATGCGGTGATCGCCGCTGAGGGCGTCGAGGATCCGACGCCACAGAACGCATGGGTCGCCCCATACGAGGACAAGGACGGCAAACTGTGGATATCCATCAGCAAGGGCGACACCAGGTACCGCAAGTTCACTAACTGTGACTTCTCCGTCCACGACGAGCTCGTGAGGCAGCGCAACGAGAAGACCGAGCAGCTGTTGGAGATTGCCGAGGCTGCCCGTAGTGCCCCCGACCCACTAGCGCAACAGCAGTCAGCTCCCATCCCCGCGGCGAAGAAGCTCAGGAGGGCGTGGCTGTTCGACGAGATCGCCAAGCACATCACGGCGACCATCACTACTGATGACGGTGCAACCCACCACGTCGTGGTGCGCACCAACATGAACGTTCGGGCAAAACTCGAAATCGAGCTTACCGAATACAACTTGGCTCTCCTTACCAACGTGGCTGTTCTGTCTGGTCCACCGCTGGCGCCGCCTCAGATCTCAGTCCCGCACGTGGCGTGGGTGCCGTGTCGTTCCTCCGTGCGCACTTTCTACTATTGCAATATCATCCAGAAGTGGACGCGCAAGTCCATCAGGGTGCAGCGGGGCCCCCACTTCCAGCAGCAAGTCAACGAGGCGGCCGATCGGCTGAGCACGTGGTACGTTGACCACCACGCGGAGCATGCAGGTACTGTGGAGGGCTCAGGAGATGTGAGCAACGATGAGTGATGTCGCCTGTGCCGCCTCGGCTGGGCGCAGACGAACGGCCGTCCATCGCGTGTGCGCAGGGGTCGACGCACTCTGCGACTTTAATTACTTGCACTGCGTATGTGGGCGCCGGGGTTCCGCCGAGTGTGCGAGCGCTCCGTTGCGTGGGTGTCGCCTTTACGCATATTCAGGCTGCGACATTGCAGCTACGTGACCGAGGTTGCCAGCTGAAAAAAAAAACATCATCGCCATCATCACCATCATCACCATCACACTCGCCCTACCCCTGGCCGAAAGCATACGTTTGTGAGCCGACGGGGCGGCGAATCGAGCGTCTCGGTTGGCGCACGTGGGCGCTCGATCTCGCAAGGTCGGGTCTTAGTGCTGGACATGGCCTATGTTCAAAGTCCCCCTGGGGCTTTCGAACCTCGTTCGAAGTCCCCCTGGGGCTTTCGAACCTCGTTCGAAGTCCCCCTGGGGGTTTGAAACATCAACGTAATAGGTATTCGGTGGTTTCAAACCTCCAGGGGGACTTCGAACGAGGTTCGAAAGCCCCAGGGGGACTTCGAACGAGGTTCGAAAGCCCCAGGGGGACTTCGAACATGACGGCGTTCTCGAGTAAGATGCGGCGACGAGCCGCTTGCAAGGCAACCTCATGCTCCATTGGCCCCTGCACCCCAACCCGAATGCTCCTCCTCCTCCTCCCGCCAATCCCACATCCTCCTCATGGCCACGGCCATCCTCGTCACCATCGGTGTCTGTCCAGTGTTCGAGTTCACTGCTGCATTTATGCTCGCACAGCTCTTTGTCAGCCTGGCAGGTCGCATCACCGCCCTCGGGGTTGCGGGCACCGCGTGGCCATGGGTGACGCCAGCGTGGCAGACCAGCTCATCAGCGTGCTGCGGCAGAGGGTGCGGTTCACCGAAGCCCAGGCAGCAGCGGGTGTACCGAGGGCTGGGCTGCACGAGTCCCAGACGAATGCAGTGTGCAACATGGTGGCCCAGACCCACGGGATTACCCTTGCCATGGCGACTGAAGTCATCCGCGAAGTGAACGCTGGCCCGTGGACCCCATCGCAAGTGACTCGCATCGCCAGTCAGTTGGCTGACGCTGTGGCCAACCAGCGTGGCGGCCATGCCACACGTTCGCAGCAAACATGTGACTACTTGGAGAACTTCTTCACCCAGAGCGATTGGGCCACAATCATGGACCACAGCCTCAGTGTGGCCCCGAAACTTGCGGTCATGGCAGACCGTATGTACAAGGTTGGGCTGGTGTGCCCAAGGTGGCGCTTGCTGAAGAGGGCTGTCGGGATTTTGGCGAGTGCGGGCAATTGTGGACAGCCGAGCCTGACGGATAAGCACGCGATGGCAACGCAGTTGAAGTCAACCATCAAGCAGAAGGACAAGGCCTGCAAGTGGCCCTACCAGCACCAGAAGATATTCCCTCTGGACCCATCTCATATGCCAACACCTGTTGTCCAGCATGCGTATGGCGACACCCCGCCAGTTCGACCGCCCGCGGAGGTAACCCGCAGCGCCTTGGATCTGGAGATACTGCAGCAGGGGGCGAGGGGCAACCACAAGGGCCTGAAGGCTGAGAGGACCCACTCTGGCGACGCCAGCGGTCAGCTCGCCCTTGCCCACGCCGCGCGCCAACCTTTGCCCCCAGCTGGGGCGCTGGCACCGCCACCAGATGTCAACGCGTTCTTCGCCATGATGATGCAAGGCATGTCTTCCTTCATGCAAGGTGCGACGGGCGCTGGCAATGGCGGCAGTGGCGGATGCAACATCACGTACACTCCCCCAAAGGGCCCCGTCGCTGACGCGAGCCCGATGTCCAGCGTGATGCCACCGACCAAGGCGCAGCACGGAGCTGCTGGCGTGCCAGGGCCATTCGCGCCGCCAGGGGGTGTTGGTGCTCCTGGTACGCCGTCGCCGCCGCCAGTGCTGGACGGCAGTGCCCCCAGTGCCACGGGCGCGGTGCCCATCGAGCTCGGCGGAGACAGCGACGATGGCATCGACGAGGCAGCTGAGCTCGAGAAGAAGATGATGGATGCAGCTGGGGTCGGCAAGGGCAGGAGCTCGGGCAAGTCCAAGGGTCGAGGCAAGGGCAAGGCCAAGGCCAAGACGACGGTCAAGAAGGAGTCCACGGGCAAGACGTGCAAGGCGAAGGTTGCGCCGCTGGTCAAGCCCAAGGCGGGCCTCGATGGCGGTTCGACAGGCGACCACCGATGGGGTAACATGCGCGTGCATGTGTGTAATGCGGCATGCGTGTGTCGGTGCGCGCACGTGTGTGTGATGTGCGCGCAGTTCCACGTGCGCGCCATGCAGTCTGCTTCGGCAGACCGAAACCTTTTGGCGTTCGGGAGTAGTTTCTGAGACGGGCCCCCAACTCCGTGGA